CATGTCAGACTTCCACAGTAATGGTGATAACTTCAGTGCTGCAGCTGTAGTGAAGGAACACCAGTGTGATCTTGGGGTGTGGATATCAAGGACAACTTGCTTTGTATATTAGTCAGATTCTCCTCAATTTGGAAATTTTACAAATCCTAGTCCTCTGCAAGTACGATGAGCAGGAATAGTGGTGACTTAACCCTCCTTGTGTCCGATGGTCCGCTTCGAACATTTATTTCAGAGCGTAAACGGGTAAATGAGCTCATTGTACTTTGTGGCATTATTGAAGATGAGGTATTGCCTGTTCCTGAGATGCTCCTACTTGAAGTCATTTCTTCAGCATGATGGTCAGTGGGTTTGACAGACTTGGTCAGTTTCTATTTTCTCCTGATGAGCTCTTTGGTTGCACTGACTGGGTGCTTTGGGTCATTGTCAGGCTGCATGGTGCAGCACTGTCCATTAAGTGTGGAAGCACTTTCTGCTGCATTAGAGACCGTGTTTCTGTAAACTTCAGAAATCCCTCTGCTGCTGCCATCATTAGCTACATCCTCAATAACAAGTGACCCAGTCTGAGACATTCCTGCATCCCCAGGCCATGACATTACCTCCACCAGCATTCAGCATGCGCTCAGAGTACAGAGATGACAGGTTCAAGTGTGGAGAAAGAAAGGAGATGCAGATGCTCCAGTGAACAGCACCTCCTGTGAGAGTCATGGCCTGGCCTGGGGAGATCATGAGGAGACTCCTTCACCTGTCTGTCTCCATCAGCACTAGTGTACTGGATCACTGAAGCTCAAACCTGAAGGCTGTGGACTCAGAGCTGAGAGCTCCAGCAACACCTCAATGTCCTCTGCGTTCCCTCTGAGCTCAGATGCTGATCACCTGTACAGGAGTAGAATTAGAGGTGGTGTTAGTTGGGGACCATACGTGTCATCTACATCTCAGCTCAGAGGATACATCAAATATTCAGGTGGTGTACTGTTCAGTCATAATTTATAATACACCAAGGAGGTCATCAGGAGAATACTTGTAAAAAAAACTTAGCTTGATGGGTCTAATGTCTAGATTTCAACCCTATCAATCATAAAGAAAACTGAAGTATGATCACCTGAAGACTAAATAACTCATTGGCAAACAGCAAAACATCTCCGATTACAGAGGGCAGTGAGCTCAATGGGTACAACCACATACTGTAGTCTTCTATACTCTGAAATGTACTGAAAGTGAATGTGTCCCAGTAATTTCAAAATGCAGCGATGAAATTCATACATGCAGAATTTCCACTGAATAAAACCAAGATTATTTTTTGTTCTGATCACAACTACAAATTACTGTAAATTTTAAAATGTTCTGTAAAGTAGACTCATTGCAGTACTGATGAAGGACAATATTTTTCCAAATTAAAACCCTATCATTTTCAAGTGTCCCACAGTATCAATACACCTTGAGAGGGCCAGTGACATGAATTAAGGTGCTTTGTTCATATTCTGGACTGTTAGAATTCTTCCACTGGACCATGAAAAAGATCTGAGTGTCTTTGGGTGGGAGTGCAGCTGAGGCTGTTGGTGAAAGGAGTTTCATTCAGCTGTAGGAAAAACCTGCCTGTTTGAATGTGCTTAGAATGGAGAGGAGTGCCAGTGTGGGAGCTGCAGAGGAACAAGTAGGGGAGAATTCCACACTGAGAAGAACATTTATTCTGGCTCTGGAGTTTTCTTCATGTGTGAGACAACAGCTACAATTGTCATTAACACTGTCACTGTAGAGTCCTGATATCTGAATCACATTCACATACTAACTGCAGGATTCAGACTCACTCCACATCATCAGAAAACATGTCCTTCCCCCGCGACAGTCGAGTTCACCCCAAGACAAGCACAGGAGAGCTGCTGTGGTGTTTGGATGCTGTCAGAAAGCAGGTGAGGAGCAGGAACCATTAACATTCATCACAGGAGAGTGAATAAACCAGAGAAACTAAAGTGGTTTAGTAATGAGTGCTGAGAATGAGGTTTATTAACTGTTTGGGCAGGATGTTGTGAGGTAATGGGTTGAGCACAGGTGTGGAAGTTATTGCTTTCAGTCTCAGAGCCTCTTTAGACTCCTGTTCTGTCTCAAGGTGTCCTGTTTCTCTGCAGCCTGATGGCCTCCCGACACACAGACACCACTCCACAGCCAGAACCATTTTCTTGTTTCCTTTCCAGAGTGGAGTCAACACCTGCTTGTTCCTTATTTGTGTTCCCTGTGAGCAGTGTTGCCTTGAGGTGAATAAAGAGCATGAGTGGGCAGTGTAGTGTCAGTGTGGGAGCCCATCCTGTCTCAGGGTATTGTAGTGTGAAGGTGGGACCTTGATACTGGAATCAGAGCTACTTGCAGCCTCTCCAGTCCACTGCATTACAGTGTAGCTGCTCCCTGTGCTGTTGAATTGATGATTAGCAGGATCAGCAGTAATTAAGCAGCTGGTTGAGTTAGATTACTGCAGTGGAGTGCACTGGAAGGGCTGCAAGCTGAGTAGCTCAAACTAATCCTATTTTATCCTCAAATGAGATTTAATTTTATGCTTAACTGTCCCTGTTAGGGGATTTGTAATCTCACGTGTCCGGACCTGCAGCAGGATTTCTGCACTCGGGCTGTTTGAAAACTCGCTGTTTAGCAGCAGAGACGAGCAGCTCCGGGATCCGCCGCCCCTATTGGCCGAGTCTGAATGAGAAGGCAGGTGCGGTCAGTCTGCAATTAGACTTCAATCCGCGGCTGTTTAGCGGTTCCGACGCCCGAGTCGCTTCTCTGTCTTTAAATAGCGAGTTTGCAAACAAAGAAAGTTTCGCAAATTTACCGTTTAGCTGGAGCTGTGGGATTCTAGGCGAAGGTTGACGGCTTCTCTTGGTGGAAAATGTAATAAAATGGGGCTTGAAAAATAAAGTGAAATTCGGAACTCACTTTTGTCGGAGCTGCCGGACGGGCTGTCGGACTTGTGGCTTCGTCTCTGCGGAGAGAAACATGGTATTAAAATCGTGCTTCCAGTTCTTTAAACTGCTTGTGTTGTATTTTATACTTTAACCTGCACAAAACTCTTTTTCTCGTTTGTATTCTGCAGTATCCTGACGAGGCTCTGGGCTTTAAACGACGGCTGTCGGATTCTTCACGGCGTGGAGACCTGAGCGCAGACCCACCCGAGTGACCGGAGCTCCGCGGCGGATTCACAAGCGAGTCCGAGTCTCCGGTCAGGAAAGAGCAGCTTCAAGGCTCGTTTAGGACTGAAAACCACTTTTGCTGGGACTTCGTCACTCTTACCGGTAACGCTGACTCTCAACCCGGGCGTATCTGGACTCGCCGACTCACTGTGCAGCTGCAGGTCCGGCTGGGTTTTCTTTCTCCGGAGCCGGTTTGCATGAAGACGCGCCGACCGCTCCGTTTAGCTTGAACAAGGGGAAACTCGTAATTTCAGTTACCGGTAACTGACCGCAGGAAACTGGAGCCCAGCCGTGTGAGACCCGGTGTGAGGAGAAAGAGAGAGAGAAGCCGCTTACCTTGCTCTCGAAACGTCGCCTGCCCCTGTCCTGCTGTAAAGGTTAAAGCGAGAGAGCTAAAACTTGCTTTAAACGATGTTCGTGTCCGAAACTTGTCTGGTTTTGTCAAAACGTGCAACAGAAAATGTATGCATGTTTTTTCCCCGGCAGCCGAGCAAAGCGCCTGTACCGGAGAGCAGCGGGGTACCAGCCGCCTCTCTCCCAGCCAGCGAGCCGCCGGAGTCCCCCCACCTCCC